CATGTAATAAAATATTTATGAAGATTTCTCAGAATTTATAGTCTTATATATTCTAAAGCAGTGCTGTCCCACAGAAATATAATAGAGCTACATAAGTCATTTTAAGTTTTCTAGTAGCCACATTTAAAAAAGTAAAAAGAAACAGATCAACATGAATTAATATCCCAACATTATTACTTCATCATGTATTCAAGATCAACTGTTCATTCTCACTGATACCAGTGATAACGAACTAGTATTATTCCTAACAATGAGGACAAAAATCAGAAATACAAATTAAAAGCATGAAAGTCTAAGGCCATTCAGTGTAAGGGTAAGTAATAGACTCTAAAATCTAACTAATTTAATAGACTCTAAAAATCTAACTAGCCCATCACTATGAAACTGACCTTCATAATGATAATCCTAAACTGTCAAAAAATAGAGGATAAATTATGCACATTATAACACTTTGAAAAGACAGGGAAATATATATATACATATATTCTTGGAGGGCTTATCAAAAAGAGTTACAAATGTTAAAAGTTTAATCCTGTTAAAAGGGTAAACCTCAATTTAAAAAATCACATTTATATAAAACATTTCATTGTCTGATACTGCCAACTAAGTATTAATGTTACTCCTATAAATTCTGACCTCTGTCATAACAGGTTTCAGCAAGATGTCTTCCTCAGTTTGTGTTGGAAAATTTGTTATTTTATGGCTTTATAGACTTTGATCATTAATCCTTCTAGTATGTTAATAGTCCACAAGTCCTATCTATTTCCAGTTGCATTGGGATATAACTGACATAAGGTGTACAAGTATGATGGTTTGACTTGCATGTATTCTGAAATGATTACTGCAGTAAGTTTAGTTAGTATCTATCATCTCATACACATACAATAAAAAGCAAAAGCAAAAAAAAAAAAATGTTTTCTCCTTGTCATGACAACTCCCAGGAGTTACTCTTTCAACCACTTTCCTCTGTATCACACAGCAGTGTTAACTATGGTTGTCATGTTGCACATTACACTCCTAGTACTTATTTATCTTCTAACTGGAAGTTTGTACCTTTTGATCACCTTCCTATGCCCACTCCCTGCAACCCTGCCTCTGATAACTACAAATCTGATCTCTTTTTCCATGAGCTTGGTTTTTTGTTAGAGTCCACACAGAAGTAAGACCATACAGTATTTGCCTTTCCCCGAGTCCCATTTTTTAAAGATTTATTTGAGAGAGACCGTGCGTGCGTGTGTGCACGTGACCACAGCAGAGGGCCAAAGGGAGAGGGAGAGAGAGAGAGAGAGAGAGAGAGAATCTTAAGCAGACTCCATACTGTGTGCAGAGCCCAGTGCAGGGCTTGATCCCATGACCCTGAGATTGCGACCTGAGCTGAAACCAAGAGTTGGACAATTAACTGACTGCGCCACCCAAGCACCCCACCATGAGTCCCTTTTTTCCCCCCGTGAGTCCTATTTTTAAAATGGGTCCCCAGAAAGAAGCTTCTCACCTCCCATTATTTCAGTTCTGTGTGTTTCATGAACTGCCCCTAACCACACAAAAATCCAAAGGTATCTGTTTTGGTGTGAGGGTATATTTTCTACGTGTTTTAGGATACTTTCTGGAATTTTATACCAACATACTGATCTGAAATATTGAGGCTAGTCTACAGTTATGCTGAACTCACTACGTTCTAGATATTCCAGAATTCAATTTCCTATATTGTATAATGGGTTCTTTTTCCTTAAATAAAATGTAAGAAAACTTAACCAGCTTCCACATAACCAATTCAGTGATTAATCAATGCTCCCTGCTCCTCCTGTAGAACTCCATGACAGATATTCACAGAAAGCTCTTCGCAAATCTTAAGAATGCTTGCACACTCCTGCTCTCAGCTAAGCTCAATGTTTGCTTAGTTTAAGTCTTTTGTGTTTCCAAACCAATTATACATTGCACTTGTTACTGTAATTACTTAATTTTATTAAATATTACTGTGAAGTAATAGGGTTTTCTGGAAACACCAGAAAGCTGGAGAAGTTTGTTTTTTAAAGATTTTATTTATTTATTTATTTGAGAGAGACAGAGAGAGAGCGTGAGCAAGCGCACAAGTAGGGGGAGTGGCAGAGGGAGACGGAGAAGCAGGCTCCCTGCTGAGCAGCGAGCCCAATGAGGGGCTCAATCCCAGAACTCTGGTATCACGACCTGAACCAAAGGCAGACGCTTAACCAACTGAGCCACCCAGGCGCCCTGCTGCTGCAGGAGAAGTTAACTACATGGGGACACTGGGACATTGGTGTTCCTTTGTGGCTTAGGTGAGAATGTAGCTTCAAAAACAAGTAAATTTGGTGAAAAATCAGAAGAGCCTGAAATGGAAGCATTAAGCACAGAGACTGTGTAAATTTTTTTTCCTGAATGGTGATATAAACTGCAAATATAAAAGCATAAAATTTAGTCTCTTGGATCTGCCAATACCCTGAAATATGTGAGCCAGTTACCACCTGCAGCTGCCAGATCCCATTAGAAACTGCAATGTCAAGGAAAGCACGACGGGATATCCTACACCTGTTCTGTTCTGATGGAAAGCTTGATTCTTTGAGTTTATGAGCCTTGGTTAAACATGGGGGAGAGAGTGATGGTGGTGGTGGTGGTGTGTGTGTGTTCCACTCGCAATAATGCAAATATTTATATCAATGAAAAATGAGTCTGAAAAGAGTTGCTTCAGTAAAAAAGGAAGGAGGAATACTTTAGAGTTATTAAGGCACACTGCTAAAGAAAAAAGTTGCTTCTAATTAGGGTAAGACTGTAAAGAGTGGGAAAAATCACAAAGATCTTGAAGGATGCTACATTCAGACTGCTTCAGACCTGTCTTTACATTTTTTCTGGATTTAAAGAAAACAAACTGGAAAATGCAGATGATAAATTATGGACATACATAGGCAAGGAAAACAGGTAATTTCAATCAGTGGCTCCACTTGAAAGAAAAGACCTTGGTTCTGGGGCACCTGAGCGGCTCAGCTGGTTAAGCGTCTGCTTTGGCTCAGGTCATAATCTCGGGGTCCTTGGATTGAACCCCGCGTCGGGCTCTCTGCTCATGAGAAAGTCTGCTTCTCCTTTCACACTCTCCCTCTGTGCATGCGCGCACACTCTCACTCTCTCTCAAATAAATAAAATCTTAAAAAAAAGAGACCTTGGTTCTAAAATGGATGTGCATTTATTTAAGTTAATTAAAATGTCTGTTATTCAGGTATCTTTATTTTTAAAAATTATTCTCCCTTTAACAGATTATTTAAATTAATTGAACTACTGATAGTGGCCACATTGAGTAAGATGGGTTCTACTACACTTTAAGCTAAAACACTGAGAACTGCATCTGCTACTTTATTGTCCACTCACATAGATGTTCATGTCATTTACCTTAGTTTCCCCCACATGCTTAGATTTATATACTCTTTATACCCTCTTCCAGATAATTTCTAAAATGTTAAATAAGCCTACTTTTTATTGGATCCCACTGTTCTATAAACTGATTCTCTGGTTAGAACCTTTTGCTATGTCATTTGTTTCTAGTCTTTGAGACAGTTTCTTGTATATAAAAACCAAATATCTCAGTAATTAAATTGGCAAAGCCTGTGGAATGAAACCTTGTCAAAGGTGTTTACTGAGGTATAATTCATATACAATAAAATGCACTTGTTTAAATATACAGTCTGATGAGTTGTAACAAATTTATATACCCATGTCACTACCATCCTAATCAAGGTCTAAAATATTTCCAGCACTTCAGGAGGTTCCCTCATGGAAACTGCAGTCAATTTGCAGTCAATTCCTTACTCCCTCTCAGCCCCAGGCAACCAATGATCTGCTTTCTGTTAGTACAGATATGTTCCTTTTCTAGAGTTTCATATCAAAGGAATCACACTGTATGTACACTTTTTCCTTCACTTAGATTCATCCATGTTGTTGTACTTACTGGTAATTTGTTCCTTTTTATTTCTGAGTAGTATTCTATCGTATGGATACAATTTGTTTACCTAGTTACTTGAACACTTAGGTTGTTTCCAGTTTGGGACTATTATGAATAAAATTGTTATGAATATTCCCATACGGGTCTTTGGGTGAACATATGTTTTCTTTTCTTTGACTAAATACATAGAAGTGGAACTGCCACATCATATGCTGAGTATACATTAAGAAGCTGCCAATTTTGTTTTCCAAAATGTGTATATCATTTCACATTCCCACCAGCAATATAAGAGAGATCCATTTGCTTCACGTCTCAAAGTCTTTTTTAAAAAAAGTCATAGTCATTTATGTATGTAATGAGTAATTATCAATGGTAGTTCTAAGAAGTTAGTATGTACCAAGTGCTGTTATATATTTATCTACATGTTCTATTTTTTTCCACAAAACACTCTAATACATTAAAAACATTTAACTCTGGCACATACCCAACAGTTTATGTGCAGAGGTATTTTTTAATATTACCATCAACATTCTTGGAATGGAGTGAAATTTACTGGTTTTATGTCCTAGAGTTGTCTTGGAAACGTATTTTCATTTAAACAGATTTTCAGCTTTTCAAATATTAGCTTTAGCAGATTCCTGGAAAATCTGCACCCATTTATACCTATGTGTAGCTTTTTCATTTTCCCCCCTATTCTTTATGAAGGCTTAAGTTTTAATTTTTCTTACTCCTTTATTGGGGGTAGGGGTGTATAAGAATAATTCTGAACATATCTATGAGGCCCTTTCTATTGTATTATCTGCAGAAATCATAAAAATAAAACCCTAAAAAGTATAGATGCATAAGGTCATTTCTCCCATAGGAATATTATGCTCTGTTCCTTAACAGTTTCCTTTGTTGTAATATGGAAAATTTAACACTTCTGAATATATGAATGATTTCTTGACATTTCATATGTAAGCAGTGGATATAATTTTAATTTTTATGGAAATGTAAAATCACACAAGCATCTAAATGTTTTATGATAAACTAAAAATAAGTAGAATCTGCTTACCTTAAAAAATTCCTTTTTCTCAACCATTTCATTACCATCTGCATCCAGCATTTTAAAAGCAACATGAAACCCAGTATGAGGTTCTGCAATTAAGTGAAAAGTGAAGTTATTTAAATGTTGGTGAAATGCAAATTACTTATGATCTATAAGTCTTCAAATTTGAAAAAAACTTCTAGAAACTATATAGAAGTGCCTAAACAGAGAAAAAAATGACCTTTTCTTATTATAATAATTTTCAAAGGCTGATATATTTTCACAGCTGTGCTGTTCTACTATTAAGTGCTCTGCTTTTCAAAGCAAAATTAATTTGAGAACTTATTTCTTTAACTCTACCAGGGGCTTTCCTATATTCTTATAGTAACTTGGCTATTTTCATACTGATTATTACTCTTTATTTCCCTCAGAGTTGGGTTTTTAAAAAATTTTTTATTTTGAAATAATTTTAGACCTAAGAAATGTTGTAAATATAGTATAGTGAGTTCTCATATAGTCTTCAGCCAGCTTCCTCTAATGTTAACATCTTCTACAACTACAGTATCATTGTCGAAACTAAGAAATTAACACTGGTAATAGCATTTTAAACTGAACTACAGACTTTATTTGGATTTCAAGTTTTTCCACTAATGCTATTTTTTCTACTTTAGGATCAAATACAAGAAACCATGGCTCAGTTGGTTAGGCGACTGCCTTCAGCTCAGGTCATGATCCTGGAGTCCTGGGATCGAGTCCCGCATCGGGCTCCCTGCTCGGCAGCTTCTCCCTCTGACCCTCCCCCCTCTCATGTGCTCTCTCTCTCTCTCATTCTTTCTCTCAAATAAATAAATAAAATCTTAAAAAAAAAAAAGAAACCATGTTGCATTTAGTTGTTAGGTCTCCTTACTCTGCTCCAAGTTGTGAAAGTTTCTCATTCTTCCCTTGATTTTCATGACCAGTCTTAAGAGTACTGATTAGGAATTTTGAAGAATGTCTGATAAGGGTTTTTTAACATGTGAAGGTTAAGTCTGATTCTCTTCTGTTCAACAAGTCTTTTAAGGAGAGAGTTATGGGGAGCCACAGTACAAAGGAAGTACAAGGGCTAATCTAATCCAACAGTATCATTTTGTTGATACAGAAACTAAGGTAGCATGAGAGACTATGGACTCTGAGAAACAAACAGGATTCTGGGGTGGGGGGGTGGGGGGATGGGTTAGCCTGGTGATGGGTATTAAAGAGGGCACGTATTGAATGGAGCACTGGGGGATATACGCAAACAATGAATCATGGAACACTACATCAAAAACTAATGATGTATGGTGATTAACATAACATAATGAAATAAAAGTGAAAAAAAAAAAAGAAACTAAGGTAGCAATAATGTTTTAATGATAAAGACATAAATACCAAACTTCCAAAACCTTGTTTGGTAAGAATAGAGAATTCCACATGATCAGTGAGAAAAACTGTGGGGTACTTACTAGTGAGGATTGTAAGCAAGAAAAGATACTCAGTATACGAAATTAGTCCTGAAAGAGATAAAATAAAAACATCAGAAGATAAGTTTTAGAAGGTTTAGAAGTAATCATATATAGATCTATATGGAAACTTCACCTAATTAAAAACACACACATTTTGGGGCACCTGGGTGGCTTGGTTGCTTAAGCGTCTGACTCTTGATTTCTGCTCAGGTCATGATCTTAGGGTCATGAGATCAATCCCTGTGTCTGGTGCTGGGCATGGAGCCTGCTTAGGATTCTCTCTCTCCCTCTGCCCCTCCCCCCTCACAAAAGGGGGGGGGATAAAAACACACACATTTTTACTTTAATTTACCTCTCTTTGGTACAGTGGAAAACTTCTGTAATAGAGAGTTAAGTACAGTACTAATACTTAAAAAAGATACTATCTTTTTTCATCAGGTTACTATTACTAGTAAAAAGGGGGAATGGATGTTGGCTAGCAAATAACAGGTATCCACTACAGGTTTTATTTGCATGGCACTTCATGCAATTTCTATCTAAATTTAACTCTTCATAACATCTCAAGTGAAGCAAATTTAAAAATTCAGTAGAGTAGCAGAGATCTCAATATACAAAAGGTCAACCTATATTATTTAAAATGAGATTAATTAAATCTTTGCAGCAGTAACTTAATTTTTCTTTGGGAAACCATTCCTTCCCCATTCTCAAACACATAGTTTTGGTAGGATGACCATCCTCACCTTTGAAGGTAGAAGCTGATAGGCCTAAGCCAATCATCGTACTCTTACTGAATTGGTGCAGAGATGGGCAAAAGGCTGATCCAAGCTAATGAGCAGGTTCCGTTGTCTGGCTGCAGGGACTAGTTCAGGGATGGGCCTTGACCTAAGCTGGGTCACTCAGAGTGGAATTTCTGACAAGAATGCTAAATCATTCACTTTATTTTTTCCCCCTCCCCCATTCCCCTGGGCTTTGATGATGTGAGAATGTTTCACTTAGGAATGTGAGGCAATGGAGAGAGTGCCTGGAACTGTCAGAGAGCCAGTGTTTAGGGCCTGAGAATGCAGCCAATCTTTAATTGGCAGGCCTGAAAGATGGATACTGGTGATGTCTGAGCACTGGATTAAACTGAATTTGAAGCTAGCTCTGTGTCTGGCCACTACTAGCTCTACAACTGTCCTTTCTTGCTCAAATAGGTAGTGTCTTGGTTTATGTGCTTGCAATGAAAAGAATAGCAATAAATATAGAAACAGTGTCTTGTAAATCATGGCTTCCTGATAAGCTAAAAATAATTTTCCCTCTGGATCATAAGTTTGATATAATAGCAAAATACACAATTAAAAAAAACTTTATCATGGAAAACTTCAATCATACACAAAAGTAGAGAGAATATAATAAATATTATATATATCAACTTCAGTAATTAACTCATGGCAGTTCTTGTTTTATCTATACCTCTTTTCACTCCCTTCCCCCCACTTCCCACTGAATTATTTTTTTTAAAGATTTTATTTATTTGAGAGAGAGAGAGAGAGTGCACGTGCACAAGCGAGCAGAGGGGCAGAGGGAGAGGGAGAAGCAGACTTCCTGCTGAGCACTGAGCCCAACTCAGGGCTCTATTTCAGGACCCTGTGATCATGACCTGAGCTGAAGTCAGACACTTGACAGACTGAGCCACCCAGGAGCCACCCCCTGCACTGGATTATTTTAAAACAAATCTCAATATATTATTTCACAGTAGAAAATTCAAGCTGTATCTCTAAAAAGACTGTCCCCTTCCCACAAATATACTTGCCACACCTAAAAAATTATCAATAATTCCTCAGTATCATCAAACTCACATCACTTTTACAAATGTCCCTGTTTCAGAAAAACATTTTTTCAAGTGTGCTCAAATCAGGATTCAAAAAAGGTCCCTGCATTACATTCGGTCAAAAGGTCTCAAGTCACTTTTTTTTTTTATTGTGGCAAAATACACATAACAAAAATTTTACCATTTTAACCATTTTTATTTATATTTTATTTTATTTTATTTTATTTTATTTTATTTATTTATTTGACAGAGAGACAGCGAGAGAGGTAACACAAGCAGGAGGAGTGGGAGAGGGAGAAGCAGGCTTCCCGCAGAGTGGGGAGTCCGATGCGGGGCTTGATCCCAGGACCCTGGGATCATGACCTGAGCCGAAGGCAGACGCTTAACGACTGAGCCACCCAGGCGCCCCTAACCATTTTTAAATGTACAGTGTAGTGGCATGAAGTATTCATTGTTTTGCAACCATTATCAGAACTTTTTAATCATTAAAATTAAAACCCCTGCCTCCAGCCCCTGTAACCTCTCTTCTGTTTTCTGTTGCTATGAATTTGCCTACTCTACGGACCTCATATAAATGGAATCATACAGTATTTGTCCTTTTGTGTCTGGCTTATTTCACTTAGCATAAGGTCTTCAAGGTTCATCCACATTGTAGCATGTGTCAGAATTCCATTCCTTTGTAAGGTTGAAAAATATTCCACTATATATATATACACCACATTTTGTTTATCCATCTGTTGATGGACATCTGGGTTGTTTCCACCCAGCTAATGGCTATTGTGATTAATTCTGCTACAAACATTGGTGTACAAGTATCTCTTTGAGTCTCTGCTTTTAATTCTTTTGGGTATTTACCCACGGTGGGATTGCTGGATCATATGGTCATTTTATTCTTAATTTGAGGAACCCTCATATTTTTTCAAAAGTAGTGGCACCATTTTACATTCCCACCAACAGCGCACAGAGGTTATGATTCCTCCACATCCTTGCCAACAGTTTTTTTTCTTGATAATAGTGGTATTAAGGGGTATCTCATTATGGTTTTGATCTGCATTTCCCTAATTGTTAGTGATGTCAGGCATCCTTTCACATGGAAATTAGTCAACTGTATATCTTCTTTGGAGAAAGGTCTATTTGAGTCTTTGCCCATTTTTTAATAAGTTTGGTTTTCTTGTTGCCCTATATGATTTGCAAATATTTTCTCCTTTCCTGTGGGTTGCCTTTTCATTCTCTTCAGAGTGTACTTTGATTCACAGGTTTTAAATTTTTCTTTTGCTTTCTGGTCTTAAATCTTTTTTTTTTTTTTTTTTAGCAGTCTCCATGTCTAGTGTAGAGCCCAAAGTGGGGCCTGAATTCATAACCCTGAGATCAAGACCTGAGCTGAGGTCAAGAGTCAGATGCTTAACCAACTTATCTGTTAAAGATGCCTGGTCATTTGACCTGTAAAGTTTCCTACAGTCTAGAAAATTTTGCTGACTGCATCTTCTTGGTGTCATTTCACATGCTCCTCTAACTTCCGTATTTTTTCTTTCTTTTTTTTTTCCTTTTAAAGATTTTATTTATTTGACAGAGAGAGAGAGACACAAAAAGGGAACACAAGTAGGGGGAGTGGGAGAGGGAGAAGCAGGCTTCCCGCTGAGCAGGGAGCCCAAAGCGGGGCTTGATCCCAGGACCCTGAGATCATGATCTGAGCCAAAGGCAGAAGCTTAACAACTGAGCCACCCAGGCACCCCTAACTTCTATATTTTCTATAAACTGGTACTTAGATCCAGAGGTGTGTTGAGATTCAAGTTTGATTTTTGGTAAGAATTTTTTTTTTTAAGATTTTATTTATTTGACAGAGACAGAAGAGAGAGCATGAGTAGGGGGAGCAGCAGAGAGAGAGGGAGAAGCAGATTCCCCACTGAGCAGGGAGCCCGACATGGGGCTTGATCCCAGGACCCCAAATGATGACCTGAGCTGAAGGCAGATGCTTAACTGGCGCCCCTTTGGCAAGAATTCTTAATTAATTGATTAATTAATTAATTTTTTCACTGTATCATTATTTTTAATGTCCAGCATTTACAATACGAGGGCCAGAGCTTTCTCCCCAACTCAAGTTTATAAATTCTCAATTGGCTTGTGAGGCCAATAGGGATACTTCTTCTTGTCTAATTTGGTTTCTGGGAAGACTTCATTCAGGTCCTCAATGGTCATCTGATCAAATGCAATTATGTTCCTCATCTTCTCCAGCTCTTTTTCATATTCCTCAATCCTGGCCTTTGAGAGAGACAAAAACTCGGCACAACTTTTCACATCTTCTTTTTCTTCAGCATCTACCTGAACAGTATATTTTATCCTCTGGCACAGGAACCTTCAGGGCATTAAACTTCTTCTCAAAGTCATCTACCAAAACAGCCTTCGCCACATTGGCCTTGTAGTAAGCCCAGTCGATAGCAGGTGGTTTCTCAGGGAGAGTAGCCAACCTGGAGGTTAAGTGTCTCATTCCAGGATTTCAGGGAGTTAGCAATGACCTTCTGGTTTCGGGGTATGATCTCCCCAAAAGCTACCCAGTCAATGGTTTTTAGAGCAAGTTTTCGTGCAGCCATCTTGAGATCCTTCACTGACGCCAGCAGCTCAGAGTCCACAGCAGCAAGGAATGGAACTGGGTCCAAGAATTCTTAATAGATGGTGCTGTATACTTCCAACAGGAGGCCAGAATAAAAATGTTTATAAAAAATGCTAAATACTATTGAGAAACAATGATAATAAAAGTTACAGATTTTGGAAATATGTGAAATCATTTCTAGATCTTAGATGATCAGAGATGTCTCAGAGAAGTAATTCTAAAAATGGTCTTCAAACGTATGGAGGAAGTAATTCTAAAAATGGTCTTCAAACATATGGAAAATTCCAAATGAAAATTTTAATTAAGAGGTGTGGGATAGGGGTGCCTGGGTGGCTCAGTCGTTAAGTGTCTGCCTTCAGCTCAGGTCATGATCTCAGGGTCCTGGGATCGAGCCCCGCACGATCTTCTCCCTCTCCCACTCTCCCTGCTTGTGTTCCCTCTTTTGTTGCATCTCTGTCAAATAAATAAATAAAATCTTAAAAAAAAAAAAGAGATGTGGGATAATAGATGAAGCTGAATATGAAAACTAAACACAAAAATACAAAAATTAAAAAGTGACTGTCGGAAATAACATCTATGTGGAAGAAGCAATGGGAAAGGCCATGATCACAGCCTAGACATGAGGAATAA